ATTTCTAACTTGTTTATACTTATAACCATTCCAATCGATATTTTATATCACACTGGTCAACTGTTATATTATCATTAACATTGTAATTATTATCTTTCAAAAATATATTCCATCCTCACCTAAGTTACGTTCATTCTCTTATTCAATCTTAATCGGTCAGTTATAATATGTTATTGCTATTATCACGTTTCAGTTTATATCTAGGCATTCACAGAATAAATTCCAAATGTTATAATAATCTTTTTCTTCCTGTTTTCTAATTGCCATTGTCAATTTACTCATTTCTGCACATTCCATAATTTTCTTAATTGTTTCCTCTTCTGTTGGAGTTTTTTCATTTTTTTCCAATTCTGTGCAAATACAATTCTAGCTAATTAATCATCTAGCTGTTAATACATTGATAATCAAATAAGTTATCTCTCTGTTCTAACCATCAGGCAAAATTCCCAATAAAAAATATCTCTGGTTTTAAATCTATATGTTGTTTTATCATTTTTTTTCCAACCACATGTGCATTCTGGTCCAATATTTTTTAGCGTCAATGCCATGCCCACCACATATGGTGGTATGATCCAGGTGTCTGATGGCATTTCCAACACTTCGCCAATTTGTCTTTGAACATCTCGGCTATTCTCACTGGAGGTAAGTGCCACCTGTAAAATATCTTATACAAATTCTCTTTGTAGGCCGCTGAATTCCTGTACAGGTAGTCCTTGACTTACAACACTTCATTTCATCACACAGACACACACACACACCCAAACTACAAATTAACAGATCTAACAGATAATCAGAGTTGGAAGGGACCTTATAGGTCATCTAGTTCAACCACCCCACCCAAGCGGGAGACCCTACACCATTTTTGACTGATGGCAGTCCAATCTCTTCTTGAAAGTCTCAAGTGATGAAGCTTCCACAACTTCCGAGGGCTTGGAAGGGACCTTGTAGGAAGGGACCTTTGTAGGTCATCTAGTCCAACCCCCCCGCCCAAGCAGGAGACCCTACACCATTTCTGACAGTCTCTTCTTGAAAGCCTCCAAGGATGACGCTCCCACAACTTTCAAAGGCAACTTCCATGGGTTGATGGTTCTCCCTGCCAGAAAATTTGTCCTTATTTCCCGGTTGAATCTCTCCTGGATCAGTTTCCATCCATTATTCCTTGTCTGGCCTTCGGGTGCTTTAAAGAAAATAGCTTGACCCCTTCCCTCCTCTCTGGGGCAGCCCCTCCCTCAAATACTGGAAGATGCTCTCCTGTCTCCCCTGGTCCTTCTCTTCCCTAGACTAGCCAGGCCCGGTTCCTGCAACTGTTCTTTGTTTTAGCCTTCAGTCTCGTAATCCTCCTGGTTGCTCTTCTCTGTACTTTTTCTAAACATCCTTTTTATAGTGTGGTGACCAAAACTGGATGCAGGATTCCAGGTGTGGCCTTACTAAGGCTTTACAGAGTGGTATTAGTACCTCCCTTGATCTCGATTGTGTCCCTCTGTTAATGCAGCTTAGGATTGCATTGGCTTTTTTGGCTGCTGCTGCACAACATCGGCTCCTATTTAGCTGGTTGTCCACTAAGACTCCGAGATCCCCCTCCCAGTTCCTGCTATTGAGCCCGGTTTCACCCAGTCTATTATAGGTGTCCTTTGGGTTTTTCTTGCCTAAGTGTAGGACTTTCCTTTTCTCTACACTGAATTTAATTTTGTTAGATAGGGCCCAGGGTTCTAGTCTGTTGAGATCCCTCTGGATCTTGAGCCTATCTTCCTGGGTGTTGGCTCTTCCTGCCAGCTTAGTATCATCTACAAATTTGGTAAGTTCCCCTTCTATTCCCTCCTCTAAGTCATTAATGAAGATATTGAAGAGTCCTGGGCCTAAGACTGAACCTTGTGGCACCCCAATGCTTCCTTCCTTCCAGGTAGACGTAGACCCGTTAAGGGCTACTCCTTGAATTACAGGATGCCACAGGGAAAACAGATAAGAGATAATCAGAGTTGGAAGGGACCTTATAGGTCATCTAGTCCAACCCCCCCTCCAAGTGGGAGACCCTACACCATTTCTGACTTCTTTTTTTAAAACTTATTCTTCTGGTGCTTTTTTGGCGGGCGGGGTGGGTGGGGGGAAGAAAAAGGCTGTTTTCCAAAGCCGCAAAGAGTAAATCGAAGAATAAAGAATAAAATAAAGAGATGGGTTGGAAGTGCGGTAAACCAACAGAATGCTGACCGAAAAAAAAAAAAGGAAAAAAAAAATCCATTTGTTGCTTGGGCCTAAAAGCCACTGAGTAATCTCATAGCAAGCCAAAGCGAGCGAGAAGGGGTGTCTTTGGCCAGAGGAAAGAGAGGAAAAAATTTTCCCTTTTTGGCACAGGAGGAAAGCTTGGCCTCGGACACAGCCGGCCAATTAACGGTTGGTGAAAAGCCGTTCTTAGAAGGGAAGAGGCAGCTTGCATCAATCAAGGCTTGTCCCACACCCCCCCCCCTTATTTTTATTTTTTTCCTATAATGAAAGTGTTGTGGTGCCTCGTTGCAAAGATGGAAGATTAATGGACCAAGGTAAAACGAGGGATTTTGGCAGACAGGTGTTGTTCTGGAAGGGAGCTGCATCTGCAAGTTCTGGAGGAGGAGGGGAGGAGGAAGAGGGGGAGAGGAAGAGAGGAGGAGGAAGAAGAGGAGGAGGAAGAAGAGGAGAAGGAGGAGGAAGAGGGGAGAAGGAAGAGGGGAGGAGGAAG